GGTGTGCTCGGAAGAATGAAGAATGAAAGGAAGCAAGCCAAAAATCCCAAAAAATAGAGCCTCTAGCAATCCATCGGGCCGACCTCATACTGCCGAGAATCAAGGTCAGCATCTCTAGCCAGGGGCTGAAGATCTCTAAAGTGGCTGATCCATGCGGTGTAGGAGGCACGATCCGTCCTCACTCGACTGGTCCTCCTCGCTGAACCACCAAATACGGAACTCCACCGACCATAAGCTTGCAAATTTAGCTTTAGAGATTGGATCAAAGAGTCATCCTCGGGGGGTGTCTGCTCAGGGTAGAAGGCATTAGGGCCGGTCACTTCCAGACGCAGCAACATGAACACATCCTCGAGGGTGGGCCCTCTCTCGTGCTGGCCAAGTATAAAGGTGTGTGTCTCGGTGCTCCACCGAAGAGCCATGGCTTCGAGGCTAGCATTGTTACAACGGATGGATAAGGATCGAGATATTTTCACCGGGATCAATAGCCGGGCCTCCTAAAGCCGCTGACAGAGGCTCCTGCTCTAGAGGACATCATCCACCCACTCCTGCCAACCAAAAGGAGGGTTCGAGAAGGCTTTGAACTGGGGATAGCAGGATGGAAAGTCCCCTCGCTCAACCCTAAAACGTAACACCGAAGAAGAGGAAATGAGGGCCTCATGTCCGGAGTTAGTGTCCTCAGTGAGACATAATGGAGCCCCCTTCGGAGATAGAAGAGAAGTGGTGGAGGTAGCTGCTCGCCAGAATGAGTCCTTCCGACCAAAATAAGGAGATTTCCTCCACTCAGACACCGGAGGTACATCCCTCTCTTTCATGAGAGCCGGTTTTGATGACCCCGGGACAACATGTTTCTTTCGAGAAGACATATGGTTGAAATAACAGGTATAAATAGCAAGGAGTTTATCGTATTAAAATTCAGAATATGGGAATTGAAGCAACACATTCGAATAAAATTTCGGCATCAACTATGCGTTTCTTAGAGAATTCATGAATTCAACAAATTCTACGAGGAATTTTTGCACCAAGAATTCAGGCACGATGTCTACTATTCTAAGGGTCGCAACAATCAGTCATTTGATAATAAGATTTACATGCAACATGATGGGTTCATTAACAAATTCAACTTCGGACATCATCAACAATTCATTTTCTCAGGTATTCTTCAAGCTCAACAAATTGCAATACCAATATGTGTCTCATCAACATATAGATTTCAAGTTTCTATCATCAATAAGAAGTGCAATATCATAGGCCGTTTTGTGATGAAATTCAAGCGGGTCATTTTATCAAAATTACTACGTTTCATACTAAAGATCCAATTTATACATGACTCAAAAATTTGGATAGAGTGAAGTTCAATAGCAAATTTTAGGCCCAAAATCCGAAGTATTTTACATTTCTCATATGTAGCAAGATTCAATGATTTGTCAGGAAAATTACAAGAATGTTCCTCCCAAGTCAATGTTCATTGTCCAGAATTTCTTTAGCAAATATCAATCTGAAAAAAAAAAAAAACATTTAAACAAATCCAGAATCAGGGAACTATTTTTTTTTTCGGGATAGCAAAATAAAAAAAAAAAATTCACTCTCAAGCACCACAAATGTCAACATCTGTGGGAGTGACAACAACAAACAAATTCAAGCTCCACAGCGCAATTTCAAGCCAAAAATGCCAAAGCTCAATGTATCAAAGTCTTTGAGACTTACAGAAGTAATGAAGAAATTGGAGACCAAGCACGAAATAGTGGGTGAGAAAGAGAACCAGCGTCTACGGCAGTCAATAGCAAGCTGTGTTGGCTTTGATGCGCAGTAATGATAGCTCATGTAGGAAATAATGGTGGTGGATTTCAGTGGGTGTGCAAGCAAAACCAAGATCTAAGTAGTTCGAGCTCTAAAAAAAAAAATTTCACCGAAACCATGCTAGGCCGAACCACACACGATGCCTTGAGTGGGCGGTGTGTGTGAGTGGCGTTGGACAATCCGAAGCCAGCAGAGTTAGCAACCACGCACGTCACGTTGAATGGGCAATGGCGTGGTCAGCACTAGATGGTTGAGGACGAAGACAACGGGGATGTCGTAGCGGAGTCGGCAACCACACACGTCACGTTGAGTAGGCAACGTGTGTGGTCTGCATTGGAACCGTTGAAGCCAACAGTAACTGGAGGTGGAGCAGAGAGAGGCCGATGGCGGCTTGGTCGGAGCTGGAGCATCGAGAGGCCGATGGAAGCTGGGGCCACGGCAATGTAGTCGTGTGCAGGCAGAACTAAGATTTGGGTAATTTGAGCTCTAAAAAAATATATATATCATAATCAATAGATATATATATATATATATATATCTTTTCGAAATGCTTACCAAAAGCAAAGATGAGGAAGAACGCTGGACAGCCGTGGCTGGCGGTGAAGTGGCAGCAGAGTGAAGCCAACGCCGAGCTCTGAAGTAGCTGGGCAGTCAAGGTCGGCGTCGGATGTAACGACCCAGAGGAGCAGTGACGTTGCAGAGAGGTCGGCATCGTGTTGGTCGGCACAACCGAGCTCCGGAGTGTCTGGATCTCTAAGCTGAAATAAAGCACCTACGGTGAAATGGAGTTGGCGATGGCATAGAATAGCAGCATCCAGGGTTGCGATGTCCACAGTAGTCGAAACTGGAGCGAATCAGCGGCTGGGCCATGGCGTCTGTAGCAGTCAGAGCTGAGTCTTCAGTGACGACGGCGGTGACGAGGCCTGGAGTCGCGATGGAGGTCTGCGCAAACGGCAGCAGCTTTGGCCTTGTGAATAGCCGGCGCTAGCTTAATGGCTATGGAGCTTCGTTGAAGAAGAAGAAAGGCAACCTGGGGTGGGCTCTCAGTTTAGTGAGAAAGTCTGTGCACCGCAGGACTTCAAGAAAAGGAAGACGTATTGAATAGGGTTTTGGCCCTTTTCTTTAAATAGAAAAAGAGAGGCATCATGCTTTGGATATTCCTTCATATATTCCTTCATATATATCCATACATATAACGGCCTGCTGACTCATTAACTTGCCAAACAAGGAGAAAGTTTATATGAGCCTTATCATTTCATATTTGTTCAGAAAATAAAAAAATATAGGTGCTTTATTTTCTTTGGTTGGAATAAAAGAAAATTTACATATATATTTTCTCAGATATAAAAAAAAATAAATTTTCTTTGTTAAATTTTATCCATAAATTACAGTGGGTCATCAGCTTTATCCATAGGCTTTGTCGAGACAACATTTTTTTTTGAGACGTAATGCAAAGCATGGCTGATAAGGTGAAATTATGCATGTCCGAGAAAACTACAATTTCTCATACACGTAAGGGGCAAATGTAAGAGGAGCTAATTTGAGCCCATTAAATTAATTAGGCCCAGTAGTCCAAGGTTGGTGGGCCTGAATTTATCCCAAGTTCAAGATTAGTGGGCCCAGATTTATCTCCATCAAACGGGTTGAATCGCTCTAAGTCTTGAAAGGGTTCAGATCCATGAACTTAGAGACTTACTCGGGCCTGGACTCGAAAGGATATTGAGCAAGCCTAGAGATCCGAGACACTTGGACTTGAAAGGGTTCAGATCCACGAACCTAGAGATCCGAAGCACTTGGCTTCGAACGGATTCAGATGCAATCTAGAAGTCACTCCGTTAATGATTCCCAGAACACTTGCAGGCTCGGAGTTTTCCGGGATCTACGCACCAGAACCATGGACGTAATGGAGTTCGAACAAAGGACCCGATCCCGAGGACGGTGAGTGGAGATAAATTCACTCCTTAGTTAAACTAGCCTATACCCGGGTCGAGGTGGCACGATCTAGGGGGTCCCTAAGACTCGGAATATTTGCGGCAGGACATCCTCTGGGACTACCCCTGACCCTTTGGGATGATTGGGGATCATTGGTTAGGTGTGGCTAAGAAGAAGGGTTCACCGAGAGGTTGATCTCCTCTTCGGGGTTTTCCTCATCCTCGAAGAGGTCACCTCCTAGAACAAGGTGGTTGAGAGAATATTCCCCATGTGCCTTGCACATGGGCTCCATCCTACATCATGAGGTGTCTATAAATAGCACCTACCCATAACTTTACAAAGGGATAGATTTTGGAGATTTAACTCTTGGGAAAGAACTAATTTCCCTTCTCCATTATCAACCTTGAGAGTGAAAGTGGGAGATCCATGGGAGAGCCTTGCCATTATTCTGTCTCTAGCCACTTTGCCTTCTTCACCCAATCTCTTATCTCCATCATCTCCTTTACTCTTGTGTTCTTAAGTTGAGACCATTGAAGAATCTAAGCCTTTCATCATCTTCTAGAGAATTCGAAGTTGTTCTTCAAGGATCCTCGAAGATCTTTGAATTTTCCAACGACGTTCTTGAACCCTCTCACATAGACCTTAGCAAGAATCTTGTAGATAGACCCAATTAGACTAATTGGTCTATATTGAGATTGTCATTTTTAGGAATAAGAGGAATAAATGAAAAATTTTAACCTCCAACTAATTTGGCATTGTTGTAAAATTCCTTAAAAATTGTAAAATCTCATCATTCATGAATTCCAACACTTCTTTTTTGCAATTTTTTTTTTGGGTGAAAATGTGCATATATTTACACAAAAAAAAAAAAAATGCTTACCATATGTACTTGCTTTTAGATGTAGAGTCTAAATAAATGAATTGTTTTCATTATTCATAGCCACATTGGGTTATAAATAATATTATTTTGCTACTTCTGATTTTCCTAAAAATACTTCTCCATAAAAAAATATAAAAAATTACGAATATCAACAAAATTATTAGAAGACAATTTTACTATTCATATTTTGAAAAGTTCTACCATGTCCATTTAGTATGTTAATAGGGTTTTCATAACGTTATTAAGATTATATAGTAATTTTTCAGTAAAAGTAAAAGTTTTTAAAACCTTCCAAAAACAATCTCTAAATATAAAAACTAAAAAAAAAAATCACAAATAAATTAATCTTAGCAAATCAAAACAAATCACAAATAAATTAACCTTTCATTAATCACAAATAAAAAAAAAGATAAAGAAAAAAAAAACACTTAATCTTAGCAAATCAAAACAAATCATTTTCAACACAAATAAATCAAATATAAAAAATAAAAATAAAAAAATCCACCGCAAACCTCATGTACATGCACCGGGACTACTGAATAATTTTCCCAAAAAATAGTATTTGGGTCGCATTTACAATCCTGATGTGTTTCAATTGGGCAGGGAATTCAAAATGGGTTCATGAGATGGAATGGTCTGGTCAGAAAGACTTCACAGCAGCTCCCACTGTGAGATTTCTGGTTGATGGTGCAGAAGCAGGACTGCTTAAAAACCATGGTCCTCTAACATTCCTCAAGGTATCTCTCTCTCTCTCTCTCTCTCTCTCTCTCTCTCTCTCTCTCTCTCTCTCTCTTGCAAACTCTTTAACTTCGGCACATTTTTTCAACATTTTCTCACTTTGGCACCTAAAAAGTTTGTTTTTGCCACTTTGATCCTTAATAACAGGTTCATGATGCTGGTCACATGGTTCCAATGGATCAACCAAAAGCTTCATTAGAAATGCTAAAGAGGTGGACTCAAGGAAAACTCTCCATGACCAAGTCAGAAGGTCGGCTCACTCCGATGTGATTGCCACACACTGACCTTAGTCCCCATGTGTGTCCAATTTCAATTGTGCACAGGTGGAAATATCCAAAATGTGCCTGGAAATACCAAAGCAATCCTCTTGTGCTTGTAGTATTAAAAAACAGGCCATTCCATAAAGATTGCTCACAGAAATTATTAATGAGTGCATTAATATGAAAACTTCTTCTTTTTTTTCTTTCTTTTTTTTTTCCACGAAAGCACATCTCTCTTCCATAGAGAAAATCACATTGCCTTGAAATGTTGGAATCTAGAGTCGGTAATCAGTACACGATAGAAGTTTTTTATTTTGAAGCTTAGTTTTCTCCTACCGAGCCCAAAAAGTAGAGAAATCCAAGTATACTATATGCCTTTCATAAAGTAGAAGAAAAAAAAAAAACCAATTCTGGCAATCCCAAATTCTACAACAACAACAACAGATTTAACTTTTCTTTTTTTTTGCCCCCTTAAAAAAAACCAAAAAAAAAAACTATTTCCCTCTTTTCTCCTTTCCCATTATTTTTTCCTTTTTCCCTCACTGTTTCTAAGAACACAAAGAAGCCACAGCCAAATTCTATTATTTTCTCTCTAATACTACACTACTAAAACTCTGCTAGGGAGGGGTTTTCATTACTTTAGGCTGCCAAATAAAATTAAATAATAATTAAAAAAAGGAACTTGAGAAGGCAAAATCCGCAGTAAAATGAGCAAAATAAAAATTATCACTGAAATTTTCATCTATAGGAAAACCCAATAACATGAATTAATTTTTTCTTCAGCAACTAAAACAGATCATTAATGGGTGGGTATTAAAGAGGAGGAAAAAGAAGAAGAAATAAAAAAAAGGCTAGAAAAAAAAAATGCAACATAATTTGTCAACTGAAAAATTGCAAGAATTAGATGAAATATACAAACTGATTCGCATCTC